GCCTGACCCCATCAGTGCCGACCCAACTACACCACCACGCGCATGCCTCGCGGCGGATATGCGCAGCAGCAAGAAGGTTTCGGTCATCCCTTGAGGGTGAGTCTAGCCCTGCTCGCCAGAAAGACCCCCCCCTTCACTACAACCCATGTCTAAGCAAAAGCTTGTCGAGGAGCGAGGGGAAGAAGGGAGAAGAGTATACATCGTAGTCTTACCACTATATATACATCGTAGTCTTGACTGTGTTCCACCCCACCTCGCCCCCCGACGTCCTTTGACCTACCACGCACACAAAAAAGGAGCTACGGCAATACGGGGTGACAAACTACAGCGGCGACAACAACATGCGATTCAGAGAGAATAATCTGGTCCTGGCCCGTCCGGGGGGGGCACTGCTGCTGTACTTGTACTTACAGCGGTGCAGGCTCTTTTGAGACGAACGGCAACAGGAGAGACGAAAAGACTCTCCTTCGAGGGCCGCGCGGCCCTCACGTGCAAAAACGAAGGAGCGTTAAGGTACCCGGCGGGGCTGTGCCTACCGCCGTTGAAGATAACACGAAAATACACGCGATAGCGGCAGCAGCAGCAGCGGCGGCGGTGTACCACACCAGCGCGCGCGCCCCCGTACACTATGCACCACGGCGCTACAACCCAGGCCGCGGGCAGCACCGAGCGCCGTCGCGTGCATTCGCTTAGCACTGGCGCAGAAAAACGGTCGGCAGCGCGACAAGAAAGGGGGCACTAAACATTCAAAGGGGTCCCTCCCTGCAGGCCGAACTCTCCTCAAAACACGGAACACACACCTTTTCCTCGTCCTTTCTTTTCCTGCCCTGCTCCTCCTGCTGCCGATGACGACGACCATGACGGTCGCCGCCCTGTGCCGCTCCGGCCGCCCCTTCCGCGCCGGCGGTGCCACCGGCCGGGGTGCCCGTTGTCGTTGCGGACGAGCGGCCGCCGCTCCAGCTACCGCCGCTACCGTCGCCGTTCCTGGCGTCGACGATGGATTGAAGCTCGGCGTCGACCTCGGCCCAGGTTGGTGCGCGGAGCACGTTCGCCGGGAGAGGTCCGTCCGTCCTGTTCCAGGCATAATCGCCTGCCAGGGACAACCAGAGGGAGGGGGGGGGGGGGGGGGGGGGGGGGGGGGGGGGGGGGGGGGGGGGGGGGGGGGGGGGGGGGGGGGGGGGGGGGGGGGGGGGGGGGGGGGGGGGGGGGGGGGGGGGGGGGGGGGGGGGGGGGGGGGGGGGGGGGGGGGGGGGGGGGGGGGGGGGGGGGGGGGGGGGGGGGGGGGGGGGGGGGGGGGGGGGGGGGGGGGGGGGGGGGGGGGGGGGGGGGGGGGGGGGGGGGGGGGGGGGGGGGGGGGGGGGGGGGGGGGGGGGGGGGGGGGGGGGGGGGGGGGGGGGGGGGGGGGGGGGGGGGGGGGGGGGGGGGGGGGGGGGGGGGGGGGGGGGGGGGGGGGGGGGGGGGGGGGGGGGGGGGGGGGGGGGGGGGGGGGGGGGGGGGGGGGGGGGGGGGGGGGGGGGGGGGGGGGGGGGGGGGGGGGGGGGGGGGGGGGGGGGGGGGGGGGGGGGGGGGGGGGGGGGGGGGGGGGGGGAGAGGCAGGGGGTAGGAGAGGCAGAGAGAGCGAAGTGAGAGAGAGAGAGAGCAAGTTACGTGACGAACCGTTCGAAATCTGTCTGGCCAAAAAAGAAAAGCCAGAAAGGTGGCTACTAATATTGCATATCTGTTGCTGTGTCGTCGCTTAACTGATGCTGTCGAAAGTCAGCGCAGACGGCGCAACAACGGCGGGAACTAAGCATGTCGCAGTACCTCTAGTATAGTATATTACATCAACGTACTTCATCGCCTTGTTTCAGCGACTCATGTAGCCTGGTATGTAGAGGTGGAGGCCGTACTGAAAGTGATGCCAACCGCTGTTCCGATGGGACGGTGTGGGCTAAGGACCAACTTCTTCGGGGAAAACCCTCATTCCAAAAAAAAACAGTTTGGCAGCGCTGGTTTCCCCACCCACCCCGAAAGCCACCCCGCCGAGCTTAGTCAGCGGGGAGTACCAATTAGGACCATCGCAATACTTAATCTAGACGCGCACGGGTGGTGGTGGGCAGTAGTGGCAACGTGCATCAAAAAGAAAAAAAGGTAATACATACATGAGGCAAAAAGTAAAAAGGTATCCAACACCCGGTCTTCACGAACAACGCCACCAGAACATCAACGGTGGGCACCTGTCATATGTATCGCCCCAGCGGCCTAGTGGTAACCTCGTAATCCGCTAGTCGCAGAGGTCGTGAGATCGAATCCCCATCGGGTGAAAAATTTACGAAATGTGCGGGGGCGAAAGCGAAAAACAGCTGACAAGCTCTCGTGAGTACCAAACGTCGACGTTAGCACCGTTGACGAGGGAAAGGGACGGCTGGACCCTTCTCGCGATAAAAATAAAATTCAGCACGCACCGCAGGATGAAGGTGGGTCATGAAAAGAAATATAAAAGAAGAAAATAGCCCTGGTGTTTACCCCCTCCTGTGTGACCCTGGATAGTTGTAGTTGTACGAAAAAATACACTGAAAAGTGTAGTACTCAAAAACTATATTTTTATTATACGGTATAGAAGCTGAGCAAGGTATTCCTGCTTTACAATCGGGGGCGAATAAACTTCCAATAAAGTCAAAAATTTATCAACTCTAATGTTTACTCCAAGAAAAAGACATTTACGTAAAAAAAGATTATTTTTTATCTAAACAAAAAACTTTTGCTCTTTTTAATGCCAGTAAATTAAAACATCAAAAATTACAGAAATACGCTTATCTTTAAAAAACGCAAAATTATATATACTGAAAAATGGGGTGACTGTCACCATCATAAATCTTAGGACGAAAACACACACACACAACACGAGCCATCCATCTCACAGCCTACATCTGGCAGACAGTGCCTTCGACCCTTCGACGGCGGTGGTATCTCCTTCTCTCACGGAATCACAAATCTTTGTATGGACAACGGATGGGTACAACCTGGATTTCCTGCTACTACTACACAGTCAGTACAGCAGTACTGCTGCGGCGGCTGCGGATACTAGATTCCTGGACGTGTTCACCTGAAGGAAAGCCAAGAGAACCTGCGAGCAGGACTTGGCTCCCTCGTGACTTCCAAGTGGCTTGCTAGGTTCGGACGAGGGCATGTGTGGAGCTGTGGCCGTGTATGTATTGCTATTTTGTTTGAGTCACCTAGCTGCTGACACGATGACTGTTGGATCTTGGGAGTGTACGAT